TTTCCTCCAGCCAACCCAGCTCCTTGGTGCTGCCGCCAACAAACTGGCAGAGCCCACCAGAGCCCCTAAACACGGGGCAGGTGCAGGTCCTATAGCCCTGAAAAAAACAGCACCACAAAGCACGTTTGTTATCGCGTCGGTAATTGCCTGCTCGTTAAAACCGACACAAACAAACCTGTGCCCGTTGAAGGTCACGGGCACACCTGTTACCACGGTGAGGAGGGGGAATTTTTGACCTTCAGATGCCTTTGTTGCCCGTCCTGCCAGCACCACATGCCTGGGGTGGCGCGTGTGCCAAGGCACTGCCTTGCTCCAGGGCTGTTTGCCGGAGCTCCCTCTGCCCAGGCCGGGTGATTGATTTCCCTCTCCCGTGGCACAGTGCCCAGGTATGTCTGTCTCCCCCAAGGCCTTTGTTACGAGAGTGTTAACAATTAACCTGCTCAGGCAGAAACAGAGCCAGGCCCCCATAATTTAGTCTTAGTTAACCATTCAGCTGCTTATCTGAAAGTGATTTTTAATTCTGTTTAACTGGAAGGCAATCGCTAACTCATTTGGAGAAAGCAAGTGTGAAGACACAGTTGTTATTTTACAAATAATTGTATTTACAATAGGAGTGCCCTGGAGCTGCAGGGATGGTGAGAAGTCTGGGTAAGAGGTGGCCATGAAGAGTTTAACCACCACAGCTGGTGGAAAAGGACATTTCACCTCAGATTTCATCCATCAGGCATTAAAATATTGCTGTCTCCAAGGCAAGGCTGCTGCAGGAAAGGCCAAGGGGCCACTGCAGCTGGATGGGACAGGGAGCTGGTGCAACATGGAGCGTGTGAAATCCCAGTGTCCGTGGTCAGAGAAGGCTGTCTGCACCTTGGTAAGGTGCTGGCATGGAGATGCCTACCAGGAAGGGAGTCTTCAATCAATCCAGGCGGACAAAGAAACTCTTCTGAGCTTTTATTAACACAGAAAGGCTGGGAAATGTGAGCTCGGCTCAGTGTTTGTTCTGGAGGGGTTTGCCCCTCCTTTGTGTCTGCAGAAAGTCCCTTCACTCGGGTTCCTGCTGTAACCACAGGGCTTTGGGGAGCTGGAGTGAGGGCAGAGCTCATCAAGGGCCCTGTGGCTCAGTGCCCTGTGGGATGGACAGATAGACAGATAGGTGTCACTTGGGATTGATTTGGACAGACCTAGCCCTCCCTGGGAGGTGAGTTGGACATAGCATCTTCTTGAGAGCCTGGTGAGGATGAAGACTGAGATGTTCCTGGTGCCTCCTCCCCACTGCAGATGGGATGTAACATCTGGAAAGAGAGAACGTCTGGAAAGGGCAGTGGCTGGCAGGTGGCTTAATACTCCTGTTTTAGTTTCCTCCCTGTCTGGAGCCTCTCCACCCTCCACAGGCCAAGGGGAGCCACTTTCATCCCTTTACCATGGCTTGGGAGTCTCTTCTAAGCCCAGCCATGCTGAGAATGACTCCTCTTTCCTTCCAGAGGACAGACTTGGGAATGAAACACTGCTAAAGTAGAGCGATTTGGCTTCTCTCAGCCTTCCTGTGCTCATGGACTGCCAGTTCCTCTCATGGAGAATCACCCAGTTTTAGTTCACGTTCCCATGGGAGGGAGGTAGATATCATGGAGTCATATGGACCCACACAGAATGGTTTGGGTTGGAAGGGACATTAAAGATCATCTCCATGGGTAGGGACACCTTCCACTAGCCCAGGTTGCTCCAAGCCCCTTCCAACCTGGCCTTGGACACTTCCAGGGATCCAGGGGCAGCCACAGCTTCTCTGGGTAACCTGTGCCAGGGCCTCACCCACCTCACAGCCAAGGATTTCTTCCTTTTATCTAATCTAACCCTGCCCCTTGCAAGTTTAAAACCATTTCCCCTCATCCTATCACTACAGAGATTAAGAGATTTAAGGAGAAGAAATGTGCTGGGGAAGTTTTGAATCACACACTCCTCCAAACCTGGAAGGAGAATAAAATGACCCTCCTGCTCTGCACCAGAGCGTGGCAGAGCTATTCCTGTGCTCAAAACTTGTTTTCAGTTCAGTTTCCTCAGTTCAGCTGAGGAACAACCAGTGCAAAACCTGACTGGGAACCGGAGCTTGCCAGAAGATACAAACCCAAGAGTTGTTGTTCTCAAAAAAATGGCCCTTTTTGGCAAACAAAGCTGTACTGTCGGGGATCTGTTGGCACTTCTGGCACCTCCTTAATAACACATTTGTAAGGCTTGTCCTTGCACTCTGTTTATCAGGCCCTGGGTTTGCAGTAAACATAAGCTAATAACAAGTTTTTTTCAGAATGTTTGCTTGGATGACTCCCAGTTAAAAGAAACCGCTTGTTGTTGCGTTGGCCTTTTTTTTTTTTTTTCCTTTTTAAGGATCAGACTTTCCAGTGACCTCATCCTGCCCTCAGAGAGTCAATGTAAACGTGCAAATGTCACCGTGAAATTTACCCAGTGAGGGAAAGGTAACCTGGATTTCTCCTCTGCTGGCTGGGGAGCTCTGCGTGGAGACAATGCAGCCTCTGCCTTTCCCTCGTCTGGAGCTGAGGCCTTGCAGCACATCCCTCCCATGGTGGCTGGTGTCCCACAAAGAGAAGTCACTGAAAAGTGACTGTAAAAAGTCACTGAAAAGCAGGTTACTCCTAAATTAGCAGAACAAAAAGTCTTCCCTCGACTAACAAAATCCAAAGGTGCCGTGGGTTGAGTGTGGCTTCGAGTGGGTGTTGCCCACACCTCCTCATCACTCCATAGCCCAAACAAGTCTCCAGGTGCCCAGGAGGCAGCTGGATTAGCTCCTGGGTGTTGTGCAACTCATGAACTGTCTGTGATGCTCTTTGGGAAGTGCCTTTAGGATGTGACCACGTCCACAGCCACAGGAGCTCTGCCAGCTCGCTGTAGGTATCAGCTCTGTGCCCTCTCCCTCTGGCACAGCTGTTTGCCACATCTGCCCACCAGCCATGTGACACTTGAGCTGTGTTTTGGGCAGGACAAGGTGCTGGAAAGAGGGAGGAGAAGCCTCCAGAAACTGCAGTTTAATAAAAGCAAAGTTGAGCAGCACAGCCCCTGCTTTAACCTTTTAAATGCTCCTCCATTCCGTTATTAGCGCAAATAGCAAGACCCCCTGAGACACCGCACGGGAGCTGAGCTCCAGACCTGAGCTTGCTCTCCAGGGAAATAAACCCAGCTCTCCTGCTTTTCTCGGGGAGGGCTCAATGAACATCCCTACCCCAAGAAGAGGGAAAACCCCACTGACATGGGGATTTTCTCCATCTCCTCTTCCTGCTGGCCCTGTCGGAGCTCCTCCATCCCTGAACCTCTCTGCAAGGGGCATCACTTTTTTTATTATCCCATCCAGGGGGAAACCTTCACCTTCTACTGCTCTTATTTCCTTAAATAAGATTTTTCACCTTTATGTAAAAGCTGATGAAGAGCATCCAGACATGTGAGAATTGGTCCCAAGGACAATTGGTCCCAGCTCCTCTGACCTGGTCAAAGACAACTTTTAAAACCATTATTTGCACATTATCCACTTCCCATGGCCTAGTTTTGGCCAGTCCAAGGCACAACCTAAGTAAGAATAAGATGGAGAAGGGGAACAAATGTTTAAAAGAAAACTCAGGATGACACTTGGACAAAAGCACCTTTCTAAAAGCTCAAGCCCATGGGAGCAACACTCCCAAAAGAAGAGATGGAAAGTGTGTTATTTAAGACTTGTTGAGTCATCCCTAAGAGATGGGCTGGAGAGAGGAATTGGATAAGCTACTGATGGACCAGGGATGGAGAAATCATATTCCCATGGTAACTCAAACTTGTTAAAACCTGGGAAAAGTGACAGAAATAATCCAACCTTGGGAACTGCAAACGGTCTTGTCCGACCGATGCCGTAGAGCTGTGCCAAACAAAACCCACACAGGCTCCCTCCCCCGAGGAGCACCCAACCTTTGGGGTCAGAGGCTTTAAGAGAAGCTCTTTTGGAGGGCACTGAGTGGGATTTGGGGGATCAGTGCTTCTCCAAGGGGGTGTCGTGGGTGGGAGTGGAAGGCTTAGGCAGAATTTATTTAGAAAGCCCTGCCATTGAGTCACAAGGTGCAGAAAGGGCTCCCTGGCTTTCTAAACTCCTGCTCAGAGAGGAGTCTGGGTGCAGCTGAATCCAATCTCAGCCTTGGATTATGTCAACGGTTTAAGTTTAAGGAATTACAGAATGTGTGACTGAACCACTTTTGTCCCGCGGGTTTTAATGATTGGCAAAACGAGAATATTTATATAAAACGAATCATTTATTTTATACAAATGATCAGACAAAACATCTTAATCAGAATTATTTACTGTACCATACAAACACTAACACTACTAGTAGTGTAGTATAAGACAGGACGGTGCACTATATTGAATCAATTATTGAAGCAGTTATATTAAAGCTGGCAAAAAGAAATAGTTATTAAGTAAAGATTTGATGTAACTCCCCCAGACCAACGCTCGTGGGGAGATCTCTGAACCTTGAGGAGTCACCTTGAGGGGTGTCCCCAGCCAAGGGAGGAATCTCCACACATACACCCCAAGAAGGGTTAAGTTAGAAGAACATGACTGTATGAAAGGGGACTGCACTTTTAGGGTATAAAGTGATTGAGCGCCAGTCACAAATTTCCAGGCTAGCTCCCAGCTTATTTGTCACATCAGACTTCAAAAAGCAGGATGTGTGTTTGGAGTTTGGTGAACCAGGCTGGTTTTAGCAGAATTCGACGCCAAGAACATTACCATGGTGCCACTGCTAACACATCACAGAGAGCTGACACGAGAGCTGGCACTGTTTGCATTCTCTGGTTGGATTTTAGGCCTTGCTGGGGTAGGCCCTCCTGCCACAGGGGGTCTGGGGTTCCCAGAGAGGAGGACAACCCCACCATCCGCTCTGTACCGGACACCGGGACACGATTTCGATCTGCAGAGGGGGTGGTGGGTAAAAGGCACCTCTTTAACAGCCCCTTTCCTCTCCCTCCTGCTCCCAGTGCCACTGACCCGTGCCTCCAGCTCACCTCGACGCTGCCATGGCCACGCTAGAGACACTGCCCGTCCTGAGTGACCCCACCCGCGCCAGCCCGCAGAACTTCCACGGACTCGCCGCCCGGCCATCCCGAACCGCCGCCCCCAGGAGCGCCATGGGGAGCGTGGGCAGCGGCGTGGCCAACGACCAGGAGTTTGCCATGAAGAGCGTGGGCACCCGGACGCAGGGCAGCGGCCGCCAGGCCTCCGAGGGCTCCCGCAACAACGGCTACTCCGCGCGGGAGATCTCCAACTGCTACTCCGGCGAGGAGAAGACCTACAAGTCGGAGAAGGTCTCCAACTCCCTCTACATCAACGGCGACCTGCGCAAGAGCGAGAAGGTGAAGATGGACATCTGTGGGAACGTGACCTCCAACAACGAGAAGAACCTGCCGCCTCCTCCCCAGTACCGAGAGCCCGGTAACCCACCAAAGATATTGCCAATCTCCGGCAAACTCGACCAGGTGAGACCCTCCGCCTCCTGGAGCAGCTCGGTGGCCACGGCACGGCCCTGAAAACACACACCAGGAAGCCCTGGGCAAAAAAGCAATCCTGGCAGATAGTCCAGTTCTCACTCTGTACATTTTATGTGCAGATAGTATCGTTCTTATCACTTTCAGGGCCAACGTTAGTTCTTGAGGAACCCAAGAGCATGATCTCAGTGAAGTTTTCAGCTCATTTAAACCTGTATTTAAGCCACTGGCTCTTCCAACCTCCCTGAGATGATGTGCCTACCTCTCTGATGGATGGGGAGGGAGCTGGAATCAGCTCTTGTTTCAGTACATCCAACATCTGAGTCCCACTCTTATGTTTGTACCATTTATAGGCAATCCTCAACTGCCCACTGCCACCTAAAGCTGTGGCTTGAAAGCACCTCCGAGCCTCTGTTCAAAATCCCTTGTGAGGGACAAGTGACAAGGCTTGAAACTACCCCTGTAAACATTATAACCCAGTCCAGCCCAGTCCTTGTGGCTCATTTTTGGCTTCAGGGAGCAAAATCTGCCAAGTCTGGAGGAGCAGAGCCCCAGAGCCAGCAGTGTTTTATGTGCCCTGCTCTGCTCTGCTCCAGTGACTTCCATAATTTGTGTCCAGTATTATTTCTGCAATGTTTGGTGGCCTTTTCTCCTGGGTTGTTAATCCACTGGTCCCTGTAGTCCATCTCAGTCTCACAGGCATCAGGTTTTTGGTCTCCAGCCTGCTCACCAGGGCTCCTCCTGTTTCTCCCAGAAGGCACTTCCAAAACATCTTTGATTCCTCTGCTGTCATTTTCACCTAAAACCCAACGTGCAGCAGGGGAGACTCAATCCCATTTTGAGGAAATTTTGTTTCTGTAGGCGCATTGACAGGGTGGGGAACGTTCAAGGCTTTAAAATCCTTTCTAAATCCCTGTGGTCCATTTTCCCCCCTGCATTGCTTATGCCCATAGAAAACACAAATATTCCAGTGAAGAGCAGCTTCAGCATGTTCCTTGCCTGGAGTCACTGCTGGGGTCACAGCTCCTACCTGCTCCCATCAGAGCATGAGCAGGACACAAGGTCTGCACAGGAAGAGATCACTCCCAGCAGGAGGGAAACATGATGCTCTTGGGGCAAAATAGCTGCCAATTCAAGGGTTCAATTCAGTTTTCAGCAACAGGACGATGCACCCTCAAGGCTGAGAGTCCTTCCAAATATGATCAGCCAAAATCAGAGTTGTTTTGATCAGGTTTGGTAGGCAAGTGGCAGCCCAAGGAGTATTCTAGGGGGTAAATCGCACAGATTTGGGGGTGAGTCAAGATTACTTCTTTTTATCTGGGGCAAGGGAAGACAAAGTGTTGTCCTACCGGTCCCTCATGTCCTACCGGTGACCACAGGTCCCTCATGTCCTACCAGTGACTACAGGTCCCTCCTGTACAACCCCAAATGGCCCAAAAGGTGTAACATGGAGCCGTCCCAAGCTGACTTGACCCCACCAGCCCCGCCCTGTGTCGATGTGTCTCTTTTTGTTGTGTCGTTACCGAGCCTCCTGCCATGTTTGACGCGTGGTCCTTTTTCCTTTTTGCAGAGCAATGAGCCCTTAGTTAGACCCTCAGCCTTTAAGCCAGTAGTTCCTAAAAACTTCCATTCCATGCAGAACCTCTGCCCGCCGCAGAGCAACGGGATGACGGAGAACAGGAAGAGCTTGAACCACGCCAACAGCAATAGCCCGTCCGCACCCAAAGCTGGGCTCGACAAGGGCAGCCTTAACAGGACTACAAACCAAGGGGGGGGGCTCTCGGATTCGGGGCGTAACTCCCTAACGAGCCTGCCCACCTACGGGACGGGCTACAGCCAGCACGTGGGGCCCATGAGCGCCTCCACCAGCCACATCAACCGCATCGGCACCACCTACGTGGAGAAGAACATCGTGGGATACAACGGGATATCTACCTCAGACAGCGGGCGGTCCTCCAGCAAGAGCACCTCCTCCTTCAGCAGGCTGAACCATCTCAACGAGACCATGCCTTTCCACTCGCCTTCCACGGACGACATCATCCAGGACCTGGAGGACCGGCTGTGGGAGAAGGAGCAGGAGGTCCTCCAGATGCGGAGGAACCTGGACAAGAGCGAGGCGGCGATCTTCCAGGTCTTCGAGGAGAAGCAGAAGATCTGGGAGAGGGAGATGGAGGACCTGAGGCAGAACTACGCCAACAAGCTGCAGCAGGTCTCCAAAAAGGCGCAGCGGGCTCAGCAGGCTTTGCAGCTCCAAATTTTCAAGCTCCAGCAGGAGAAAAAAAAACTCCAGGACGACATGGGGCAACTCCTCCAGCAGCGAGAGGAGCTGGAGAAGAAATTTGTGGCTTTCAAGAAGGAGCAGGCTGAGTTTCTCCCAAAGATTGAAGAGACCAAGTGGGAGGTAAGAGCCTTGTTTTAACAGGTTTTCATCAAGGGTTCTGGCAGCCCAAAGTACCTCCCATGTGCCCTAAGGGGACCCCACAGATAATGGCTATGGGTTGGTGGCCTCTTGTGGACACTTGTCACCTCATTTGTCTGAGTACCAAACCTGTTGTTTTCCATTGAACTAAAATAAGCATAACTTTCTGTGCATACCTCCTGTGCTGATTAATAATTTGACTTTGCAGTCTAGTCACTCCAACTTGTGACATTTAAATCCAGTCTCAGGGAACACAACTCGTTCCATACAGGTATTTGTGCCTACCAAAACCAGGTTTAAGTCTGTTTTAATTAAATTCTTGTAAGGTCTGCGTTTGGGCAAATGTTGAAACTGCTTTTCAAATATTTGAATTTCTTTTTTTTGCTGAAGATAAAAAGCAACTGAGCTAAAAATTATATCAATGGCCAAGTCTACCTCATGCTTTCCATTGCAACACGCTGTTTTCAGTTCTTAATAAGTTTATCTCTCTTAAAAAGCTGAAAGGCAAATTCCTCTTTCTAGTTCTCCTGTTGAGTTCTACATAATTTTTTCCTACCGTTTCTATTTTTAGAACATTTTATCAAAGTCTGTTTGTATAGCCAGTGCTCACATACCTTTTTTTTTCCAGCTTGATCATGTGAAGAATTTTAATCCTTCCATGGACTGGCTAGAAACTTTAAATTTATTAAGAGTGCAGAGGCAAAACGTAGCTCTAGAATCAAGAAGACCCTATTCTGCTAATCCTGATGGGAAGTCAAGGAAGCTGGGATTAACTAGGCTCTGAAATGTACCTTTGCAGATGTTCAGTAGAGCTTATTAGAGGCTTTTTGTAAAATCCCTGCAAGTTACATCCCAGAATGAGGAGGCTGCATTGTCCCTCCTTTGGCCACCTGCTCTGTTAAGGGACCTGAAAGACCACCTCGTTCCACCCCCCTGCCATGGGCAGGGACACCTCCCACTAGAACAGGGTGCTCCAAGCCCTGTCCTTGAAGTCTTGAACGCTTGCAGGGTTCTTTAGGAGTCTTTGGGAAGGAAGGCATCATAGGATGAGTAAGTGACATCATCCTGTCCTACTGTCCCAGTGCTCAGGGAGAGCCCGGGTGGTCCCTGGGTCTGAGGTGTTTCTGTCTCAGGCTTGTTCAAGGTCCAGATGCCACTGAGGTCAGTGGGAAAACTCCTGCTGAGAGCAGAGGGTTTGGGGTCGAGCACCACAGGGCTGTGGTTGGGTGAGTAAGATAAACGCAAGGAGGGAAGCATCACTGTCTCACAGCACTTGGCTCAGCTGTTTGGACAACTCCAGCTGGGAACAGCATCGGGTCCCTGAAAAGTCCCAAGTTTCTGCAGGAAAAAACACAAAATCTCCCCCACATGTGTGGGGATGACCTTTAGGTCTTTGGCGTGGTCTGGGGCCTGGTGAAGGCTGGAACTCAGTCCTTGAGCAGGGCTGTTTCATGGGCAGCACGAGGGACGAGCAGAGGTGGTGGCTCCTTGCTGTTGTCCCCCGACCTCACGGATGCTCTTCCCACAGGTGTGCCAGAAGGCAGGCGAGATCTCCCTGCTCAAGCAGCAGCTGAAGGACTCCCAGGCAGACGTCTCCCAGAAGCTGAACGAGATCGTGGGGCTGCGCTCGCAGCTCAAGGAAGGCAAGAACTTCCTGCGGGAGAAGGAGGAGCAGATCCTCACCCTGAAGGACTCCTACAGCTCCAAGAGCGTCAACCTGGAGATCTGCGAGGGCGAACTGCAGCGCAAGATGAGCGAGGTGCAGGTGCTGAGGGAAAAACTGAACCACTGTGAGCTGGAGGTCTCCGGCCTGAAGCGGACACTTGCCAGCATGGGACCCCCGGGGCCCTTCGGGGGCGACCTGGGCGAGAAGCTGCGGGACCCGCTGGCCTGCGAGAGCGACGAGGCCAAGATGCAGCGGCAGAGCGAGGACAGCGTGAACTCCCTGCGGAAGGAGGTGGAGAGGCTCCAGACGGAGCTGAAGCTGGAGCGGCAGCAGCGGGAGCAGCAGGTGATGGACTTCGAGGAGGAGCGGCGCACGTGGCAGGAGGAGAAGGAGAAGGTCATCAAGTACCAGAAGCAGCTGCAGCTGAACTACGTGGAGATGTACCAGAAGAACCAGCTCCTGGAGCACAAGGTGAACGAGATGAACACCAAGGCCACCAGCCCCCCGCACACCGAGGAGAAAAAGACGTGGACTCCCTCCAGGCTCGAGCGAATTGAGTCCACCGAGATCTGAGGAGGGGCCACCACCACGACACAACGAGATTTTTTTATTGCTGTGCATGTACTACCTACTCAAGCCAGTGATCTTCCGAAGGATAACGCGCTACCGCCGGAGCAGGGGGAGCCTGCTCTGCTCCCAGCCGAGCTCCACCACCCTTACTCTCCACTTCTGTGCTCTGTAGGTAAAATAACTGTGGATGTGCGTTGGTTTTCTATCGATGATGCGACATCTCTTTTGGGTTTTTTTTTTCCTAGTACAGCTGGTGAGGGTCAAAATTGGCTCTTTCGTTAATCTGCCGTGACTGTTACTCCGCTGGAGGCTGCCACCCCCTCTCCTACAATTCACCCCTCCTCGGTTGGTTGTTTTGGAGGGTTAATATTCGGTTTCTTTGGTTTCCCGAGCATTTTCGTGCAGCGAAACAGTTCAAAGTGGCAGGTTTGTCGGTTTGGTTGGTTGGTTTGATTTTTTTTTCCAAGATGTTTTTAGCCACATTGGCTAACGGAGCAAAGCTCTCGGGATGATGAGCAAACTCACTGTTCTGCATCAAGTATCCTGTTCCAGACGATGGTCTTAGTGAAGTCAGTGCAAGGTTGGCCACTGATTTCAGTGAAACCAGACATATCTCTGCCAGACGACTCCCTCTTGCCAGCCCATGGCTACCATGGTTGCAAGAGGTTAGGACATCCTTGAGGAGCAGGATGAGCCTGTCCTGGTAACAGAAGCCAACAGGGAATGATCTCCCAGCAGGAGCCTCTTTGGGGGCTCAGTAGAGCTGTGTTTTCATTTCCTTGTGGTTTCCTTCTGCGGTTCCACTCCTCTCCCAGGTTGTGACTGACCCTGGGAGCAGAATTACCCTCCCACCTCTGCCTTGGTCCCCTTACCCTTACTATACACCCAAGCTGGCTACAGCAAGAAAAAAGCTTGGAAATCCAAGCTGGTTTCCCTTCCCAAGAGCCCTCTTACTTCCCAAAGTCAATGGGATCAAGGTTTGGGGAAGCCTCCAAACCTGTGGGATGTTTATGCAAACTGAAGCTTTAGCAATTTGCCCCAATATTGGGCAGTTGTGCCACCCTGTCCCTGAATGAGTGACGCTTTGGGGCACTCTCTTGGTCCAGGGTCTACTTAAAAACAGCATCCAAGCCTCACTCAGGAGTTGCAGGGGGCACATCCCAGCTGGATTCCAACGGGGCGAGCGTCAGCCTTCAGTACAGCCATTCCAAACAGCACCCACGGCCATCCCACGCGGCATCACATATTCCAGGGATGGAGATAACGCAGGCCTAGCTTAAGAAAACACTCAGCTACTAATTCTGAGCATGAATTCAGTCCTTAAGAAGGGAAAATGCTTAAGATCACGCAAGTGCTTATGCCCTGGCAGAACAATAACCAAATCCTACGTGCACAGTCACTGAGGCAGCAAAACCCAGCTCTCGGCTTGAAAACGTGGGCAAAGTGGGCCCAGTTCTCCCTTTTATGGACATTTTTTTACCATGATCCACAGTAAAGAGAAGGAAAACGTTTCAAAGTGGAGTTTGCAGAGACTGGGCAGTGGCCAAAGGATCAACACGAGTGGGAATTTTGGCTCTTTGTCTTAGGGAGAAGATAGAAGAACAAAGCTGGAATTAGCACTGGACACCTTGGAATGTCTGTGCGGTGACTCCAGGGAGGGTTTGGCCAGATCACATTCCATGTGCATAAGAAGGAAGAACCTCAGGGTGTTGAGGGGCTGAAGACCTTCCAAGCAAAAGCCCTGAACCTGCACATTTTCCATGCTCCCTTTCCGAAAAGCTCCTCATTTCATCACCAGGTCTGACCTTCAATTTGGGAACAAGCATTGCTGTGGTGAGCTCCAGACTGAGCAAAGAGAGAGAGGAGGCTGCAGTTAGTCCCACCAGCCAAGGTCATCAGGCAGTGCTCCTGGCCAGGAGCTGTTGGTGGCTGGCAGAGATCCCTGGAGCCGTAGAAAATGGAGATGTGCAAAGAGACCAGGGCATTTCAAGATCCCAGTTGATGGTTCCTGTCTTCTCCCACCACTTCTGCCCGTGTCTTTGGAGCTGGAGGGAGACACAACTCATCAGTCTGAAAAACACGGGGGGCAGCTCAGGCTAAGCACCTCTCCTAGGACCAGCCATAAAAGGGGGATTAGTTCAGGTCTGACCCCTGATGGGCGTGGAGAGGAGTCTCAGAGGGACTGAGCTTCCAGCTCTGCTGTTGAGGACGTGCACACCGCAATTCCCTGCTGCGTTAACACTCAGGAGCAACCGACACCGGCATCACCCTGTGGGTCACCTCTCCAGAGCTGCTTCCCAATCCATGGGCAGGAGAAGCAGGGGCTTGTGTGGCCTCCCCACACACCTGGGCCCAGCCAGCAGCAGTCAGCCAAGTCCTCCAGCACGTCAGGTTTGCCCCATCGTCATTTTTCCTCGATCTTTTCTGCAGTGGTACCAGGAATGAGTGTCTTGATGGATCCAGTGAAACCTGGAGGTACACAGGGGTGCTGGACTGCCCAGGGGCTCGATGACCTCACAGTGCATCCATCAGGGACTGCTTGGGCTGGGGCAGGAGCAGCAAGGAGAGGTTTTGCACCTTTGAGGAGGAAAAGCCCACTCCTTTCACGTTCTTCTTCACTGCATCACTTCAATCAAGAGTTTCGATCCAGATCTGAGGGACCTCATTTTGTGGACATTGCCTGGATGACAGAGCCTTGCTGACACCCTTGCTGACACCAGCTGCTGCTGGTGGTTTTCCCTCTCTTGGGATTCACCCAGGATTCCCCCAAGCACTCAGCTGTCCAGCAGAAACCACCCCCCTGTGCTCTGGTGACTTAAAATACAGATGGTTTTGGCAAGTTCCCCGGTCAAACTGCCCCAAAGGATTCCTGGGCTTCGAGATTCCTCCCCACAACTGGATGCACTGCTCCCCATCACGTCCTCTCCCCGTGCCAGCCCTTTGCTCAGCAGAGGTGGAGCAAAATGATGATGGGACACCTGGATTCCTGTTGTTTGTGCCCAGGTGGGAGCTCACCTGGCTCCTCCCAGGTCTTAACACTTTCTCACACTGACTGGATGAAGTCTCCCATTCCAAACTAGGTCTGTGTTGAGGATCTCAGCCTTGGGGTAAAATAGCCAAGGGGTCCCAGACTGGCTTTTTGGTGACACGTCCTGGGAATGCCCAAGGAGGCTGGCATCGTCTCTTGGAGGCTCAGGCAGGGCTGATAAAAGGTTTCTGTCCCATGAAACTCCACACAGAGTTTGGGCCTGACCACAACCCAGCTGTCTCCTCCACCTTGGAGCTAATGGAATTCAGCTCCAAGTGACATCCTGGCTCATGTGTAATTCTCCAAGTCCTGCCCCCAAAATCATCTCTAACTTGCCACTGGCCACCACCACAAGCTGTGGCCACGAGGGTCTCAGGTCACTTGCCCCACACAAGGGGTCCACAGACATTAGAGATGCTCTGGGACACCTGACACACAGGGCTGGGCAATATGATCAAAGATTGGGATGGGCTGCCCAGGGAGGTGGTGGAGTCACTTCCCTGGAGGTGTTTAAGAAGAGACTGGATGTGGCAGCAGTGCCATGGTCTGGGTAACAAGGTGGTGTTGGGTCACAGGTTGGACTCGCTGATCTCAGAGGTCTTTTCCAACCCAGCTGATTCTGTGATCTTTGGGAGAGCCAGGCCAGTGGTGGGAAGTCCTGGAGCAGCTCTGGTGTCACACCACACACACAGCCGAGTCACGCTCCAGGCACATCCACAGTGCAGAAGACACTGCTCAGCTCCAGAGACTTCCATCCATGAGGATGGGGGCTAAGCAGGCTGTCCTGGTGCCAGGGAAGGTCTCACCCCTCACTGCTTTGCTCCACCACCATTCCCAGGCTGGCTGCTGTTGCTGTCAGACACCGACCCAGGCTGGGCTAATTCCAGCACTCCTGTCTCACCCCAAGGGTGAAACCACAGCCATGGCACGTTGTTGTGCCTCACACAGTCTCACTGAGCTTCTACCACCGTCTCACAGCACCATTCCTGCTGTCACTGGCGCCGTGCCAGGGGGAGATCCCTCTCCTCCGGGTTTCCACACTCCAGAGGGGAATCCGATTGCTGCTCTTAACGCTGCCACGTTATACAGAGGGATGTAAACCACGGCCCAGCTCTGTATGTTCAGTGATTCAATGGAGACCAGGCAGCTCTGTGGCTTCTCTCTGGGTGAGCAGGACCAGCAGCACTGATGCTGTGCTCACATGGAGGGTACTCAGCACCCCCAGAGCTGTGGCAGTGGGAATCAGGGGCTCAGCACCTCCCAGGAAAGCAATCCCCTCAGGACTGACTCCAACAGTCTGGTGCCACTCTGTCCTGCTTTGTTGCTGTCACCCCGTGCCAGGATTTGCTGTTGTCCCCTGGTTAAGGCTGAAGTCCCCCCTGCCCATGTTGTGTCACACAGACAGTGGCTCCCAGTGGTGTCCCCTTGGAGCTCTGCCCATGGAAAAGACCATCCTGCCCTACTCCTGCTCCTTCCAGTGGCACTTTATAGCTTGCTCACGAGCAACATGACCAAAGATCTCTGGAGGGCGTTGGACTGCACGCTTGGAGCTCTGTCCTGGCTTTCCTGGGGAGAGATGAGGCTGCTGTGGGCTGGAAGAGGGGAATGAGAGCTGGCAGGGGACAGGAGAGGGTGTGGATTTACTGGTGTCCCACCTGGGAATGTTTGCAGGTCCATGAGGGGCCCTTCCTGTGCTAGACAGGACAGGATAGAAAAGAGTTCCTGGGTGAGCTGATTGTTCATCACACCAGTATCCTCCACGGCCACACCACGTAGCTCCATGCATTGCCCAGGGAGAATGTGGACCAGGGACTGTTCCCTGGAGGAGGATGGATGCAATTCCCTTTTTTTTCCTTGGGAAATGGCATGCCCAGCCATTCCTCTTGTTCTCAGAGTGACAGGTCTCCTCTAATTTAGCAGCAGACATTGCTACAGGGTCCAGTCAAGGACTCATTCTGGATCAGTGGGAATTGTCCAGGAAAACATGTATCCTCAGAGCTGGTGGTCCTGCTGGCTGCCCCCTTGGTGTCCTCTCCCCAGCTCACCCCAGGGCCTCCTCAGCACCTTCCTTACCAGGGAACCAAATTCTGAGGTAAATGCACTTTGCTCTTTGCTTCTCCTGCTTGGAGTGCTGAAGGCAGCTCTGCCCAGCTTGGCTCCACAAAGCTCCTGGACCTGGTCCCAGCCTTGGCAAGCAGGGCACAGGCCAGTGGGAGATCAGGGCTCCTGTGAATGGTGTTCGGGTGGGTCTGGGCATAGGGCAGATGCCTTTTCACCGTGCCTCTGCTCCCCAGCTGTGCTCAGCCTTCTCCACTCAATTCCTGGGATGGGAGAGGGTCCAATCGCCATTAATTTAACCCAACCCTTCATCCTAAGCCTTGAAACCCCTTGATAGAGTTACTGTCCATCAAAACCCCTTGCTAAAGATCTGCTCATGTACTGCCTGTGCCCTGCTGCTCCTCTGCCCCAGCTCTCCAGACTCTCCTGCCTCCTTTTTGATCCTCCCCATCCCACTGGAGCAACCAGTGACTCTCCCAGAACTTTCCCAGGTACATCTGAACATGGAGCTGGAGCCCACAGCCCCCACTGGGAGTGGCACATCCCAACCCTGCCCTCAGAGGAGCTTTCAAGACTGCTGGTCCTCACCTCTCCATCATTCCCGTGGCAGCTCCATCAGTCCTGCTTTACCTCCAAGAGCAACTTGGCTTCCCGCTGAAGGACATTCCCATGAGATCCTTGCACGGGGCTTCACACCATCACAACACCCCACCCACCAGCTCTGGGGCTCCCTGCTCCTTCCACCCTCTGGAAAAACAGAGGTGTGAGGGGTCTATGAGGTCTGTAGGGGCACACATGACTCTTCAGTCTATTGAGGGGTTGGGATCTCATCCAGCTGTTTCCAGATGTTGGTTTCCCAATAGGATGTTTCACCAGAAACAATTTTCAGGATAATCCTCCTCCCCGGTTCTCCCCCTGAAGGGGATCGTGTCAGATCTGGAGCCTGGGACAAGGTTGTGTTCTCACAGCTCTTTCACAGATCTGTTTTCTCCAGCAGAAAGTCTCTGCTTTCTGTCCCAAAGCAATAGGTTTTTCTAGGGAGATTTCAAAGGGACTCTTCCCAACTCTGATACCTGCAGGGAAGCCAGTATTCCCTTGAATACCTTCATAGCTCCAGCCCTGGGCTCTCCTCCTTCGGAAAGGGAAGCGAGGTCCAGTCTGGCTCCAAACAACCACCAATCTGAGCTTGGTGGTCCCATTCACCTGGAGAGCCCAGAGCTGCCCTTATCCAGCAGGCCACCAGCCTGGGCCCCCAGGAGGTGTGATCCATCCCCTCCTGGTCCCATCCCATGGCTGTCCCTGCAGGTTTTCTCCACGTGAGAGCCACTGGGGTGTCTGAGCTCACAGGGGGACAAGCAGACACCAGTGGGAGACTGTGGCTCTGCCATTCCTGAGAGCCAGGTTGCCCTCCTGGAGGAGAAGGTCCCTTTCTCTCCACAGGTGACTGAAAGGAGCAGAACACCCCCAGGTAGAGCTCCAGCACCGGTGCCAGAGGGTCCCAGCACCGGTGCCACACAATGCTGCACACACACCGTGTCTATGCAGTCCCTTTCCAGGCAGGGGAGTCCCTGCAGAGCCCACCCCGGGGCCAGGGCTCCTCCAAGGTGTCTTTGTTTGCACTCCCTGGGACCTGGAATCGCTGTGAGCCGAGGGCAGCCCCTCTCGGCCTTTGCCGCGCTTGGGAGGGTCCCTCGTCCTAAACACGTCGCCTGAGTCGCCCGTGTCCTGCGTCTGTCCTCCAGCAGACCCATACCTGTCCCCCCCCCCCGATCCCCAAATCCCAGCTCCCAGGTAGGGCCTGAGCGAGCCTGCTGTCCCACTTCACCAGCAATAACAGCCGGGGCCCTCCGGCCCCGCTCGGCCGCCAGGCTGTGTCCGTGCAGGACCTCCTGCATCCAACCCTTTGTCCAACTCCAGGCATTCCCGACTGTAAATTCGATCCCAGCCTCGTGCTTTCTTCCCTCCTGTCGGTTTCTCTCTGCTCTGACTGTGAATTCAAACCAGAAGTGTTCTGAACTCGACTCCGTTACTGTTCTGTTTCTGCGTCGACTGTTGCTGGTTCTCCGAACTGCGTTTAACGAGACTTTGCAAAAAAAAATATAAAAAAAACTAAAAAAAAAAATTTAAAAAATTATATATATATATATATATATATATACTTAAAAAATTAATAAAAATATTTAAAAAAGAACTCCATAAAGTTGGGTGTCTCTCCTGTCCACTGGTCACTTCCAAAACACCGTTGTCTTGAATTTGCCTCTGGTTTATAAATGTATTTAAAAGACAAGAGGTTGGGGAAAAATAAAAAAAAAAAAAAAGGAAAAAAGAGGTAACACGCAGCATTCCGGGATTTTTGTACAGCAAAGGTGTATCTGTTTTGGAAATTCATGTTAAAACTCTTACCACACTTCCCAGTTTCCCGCTGGTCTGTTGTATGTCTCCATTGGGTTTATCCAGATGTGAAGAGCTACTGCCTTTGCCATTTTCTACGGTGAATATATAAATATATCTGTACAGAGGTATGTATATATATAAATAGACATGCAGATCTATATGTATACGTATCTCCAGCTCTCCTCTCTCTACCTGACTGTGAAGGATTTTTATTGGGCAAAATAAAAATGGAGAAAGGCCCCGTTTTAAAAACAGGACTGTGTGGTTTGTCTGATTGTGTCGGGGGTGGGAGAAGGGGGGAGAAATGGGGATGGATTTTGGGATCAACCCACAGCCAGGTTGGGGAACTGCAGGAAGAACCTCACCCTGGATGCACCAGCACCCTCCAATCCAGAGCTCCCTCATAGCTCCCATGAAGTCCATTCCACCTTCCCTCACCACCAGGGAGGTAACATCTTGTCCAAAACCTCCTGCAGGTTTTTACTCCAAAGGATCCCCTCCAGCTGCTTGGTCGGCGTCACATTAAAGCAACATTCAGATCATTAGTTTTCTAAAAAAAAAACAACAATTCCAGCATTTTTCCCAAATGCAGCTTTATTACAGAGGCCTCCTGCCCTCTGGTGACCAAGCTGATGCTTCCCGGGGCAAAGTGAAACAGGGATTTCAGGAGTTCCCTCAGGTTTTAAGGCACGAGCTGCCATCAGCCAGCGAGGCTCTCCAACTCCCTCTGGAGTCCTGGAAATGTGTTTCCTCAGTTGCCAGGGGATAAAAGGCTGATCAAAGGAAGAGGTGAGCAGGAAATACACCTGGTAGAGGGGTCAGGAAGGGATCCAAGTGCTAAGGAAAGCTCAAGGCCCTATTTAATCACGGTTTGCAAATGCTGAAAGCCCAGAGTGGACAAGAGAGATTTCTGGGCACGGTGGAGCTGTGATTATTGGAAATAATAAAAAATGTGCTTGGACACAGCACTGGCCATCAGGCTCTGCTTGAGCAGGGAGTCAGACTAAACCAGCTCGACTGGTCCATTGTCACCTTAATTCCCCTTCCACAGGTCCATTGTCACCTGGATCCCCCCAGTTTTGCTGGAAGGGCTGCAATGACAGGCTCAGCCCAGACAGGAGCCCACCCCCACACTGAGGAGAAGCCCCTCAGGCTGGTGGCTCTCTGGGGACATGGGAAGGACACTTCTGGGTGTGCAGGTACCCTGAGATACCTGCAGCCAAAAGCGTGATTTAATGACAGAATCATAGGCACGGAATGGTTTTGGTAAGAAGGGACCTTAAAGCCCACCCAGTCCCACCACCTGCCATGGGCAGGGACACCTTCCACTAGCCCAGCTTGCTCCAAGCCCCATCCAACCTGGCCTTGGACACTTCCAGGGGTCCAGTGGCAGCCACAGCTTCTCTGGGCAACCTGTGACAGGGCCCCACCACCTCACAGGGAAGCATTTCTTCCTAAGATCTAATCCAAAACTGCCCTCTGGCAGTGGGAAGCCATTCCCACCTTGGCTTGTTGCTCCATCCCTTGTCCCAGGTCCCTCTCCAGCTCTCCTGGAGTTTTCTCTTCTCCAGGTGAACCCTTCAGGCCCTGCAAGGGGCTCTCAGCTCTCCCTGGAGCCTTCTCTTCTCCAGGGGAAACCCCCCCCAGCTCTCCCAGCCTGGCTCCAGAGCAGAGGGGCTCCAGCCCTGTCAGCATCTGCGGGGCCTCCTCTGGACTCGCGCCAGCAGCTCCACGTCCTTCCTGGACAGTTTCAGGGATGGGGAAACCACAGCTTCTCCGGGAAAGCCAGTTGCGAGGGTAGTGAGGGTGCCGTGGCTCCCCTCGGTCCCTCAGGGTCCCGGTTCCCCCTCACGGAAACGGCCCTGGTGGCTCCCGGGGCGGCCACGTGACTTCTCCGCCCCTCGGAGACACGTGACCCGCGTGTCACGTGGTGTGCGGGGGAGAGACCGGAAGTGGCGTCAGCGCCGCGCGACCGGAAGCGGCGGGAGGAGGAGGAGGCGCAGGGGAAGGAGGAGGCGGCGGAGCGGCCCCGGTGAGTCCCGGCTGGGCCTGCGCTGCCCCCGCTGTACGTGTGTATTTGTGGTGTATATATCTGTAGGTGGCGTGGGGGGGAGTGCCGAGGCTGCGGTTGCCGGCGCTGCCCCCGCTGGAGCCTTGGGATAAGGGAATCGCATGGAGATGCTGCCAGGGCTGGAGCCCCTCTGCGCTGGAGCCAGGCTGGGAGAGCTGGGAGGGTTCCCCTGGACAAGAGAAGGCTCCAGGGAGAGCTGAGAGCCCCTTGCAGGGCCTATAGGAGCTCCAGGAGAGCTGGAGAGGGACTGGGGACAAGGGATGGAGCGACAGACCAAGGGGGAATGGCTTCCCACTGCCAGAGGGAAGATAGATGGGATACTGGGGAGAAATTGTTGGCTGTGAGGGTGGTGAGGCTCTGGAATGAATTTCCTAGAGAAGCTGTGGCTGCCCCTGGATCCCTGGATGTGTCCAAGGCCATGTTGGATGGAGCTTGGAGCAACCTGGGCTGGTGGAAGGTGTCCCTTCCCGTGGCAGGGGGTGGGACTGGATGGTCTTTGATGCCCCTTCCATCCCAAACCAGTCTGGGATTCTGTGATCTTAAAAAAGAGGGAAAAACCACAAACAACCCAAAAAGTGACCGTTTTGTGCTCTGACACCATAAACTGATGGAGGGGGGGAAATCCCCTTTGTGTCCTTCCTCCCTCCATCCTAGGCACAGGTTTTCACTTCAGGTGTTGGCCAGAAGTAGCTGTTTTACCCCCAGCATTCCATAACCCCCTCATCCCTCACACATCCCCAGGAGATTCCATCTGCCCCTTGGCTGTGGGGGGAAGCCCAGGGTGGGTTCTGGGGGGTGGTTTCCAGTGCTGCCAAAAGTGTTCCAGAGGGACCAAAAGCCCTGGCAGCTTTTTGGGATGCTCCTCTATCCCCAGGATGGGTGAGATCCCTCCAGGAATGTTGTTTTCCAGATGTCCAGCAACACTCAGCTCTGAGTGTGACACTCACACAGAGGTGTTTTCATTCTCAGGGTGCATTCCCAGCCCTGCAGGGCCCAGCTCCAAAACTCCACGGCTTTTTGGAAGTGAAAATCCTGGAGAGGCTTTCCCAGGGGTGGGGAGGAGTTTGGCTGTGCTGGGATGTGGAGTGGGAGGAGCAAGGAAGGCTCTGGTTGCTCAGGGTGAAGGGAGGCAAACTGAGGAGAGGTGTGGGTTGAGTTGGAAGAGAAACAGTGTGGAAACTGGGAATATCACAAGGATTTGGGGCTGGGGGTGGGTGAAATCATGGAATAATCATTTGGACCAGCCCTTGTTCTTCCAAGATGCTTGGAACTGCCTTGTCCCATCCCAACCTTGCTCCCCTGTGAGGGATCTTCCCTTTTTTTTGCTGGATTTGGAGCAAAGGAGGAGGGAAATACTCTGTTTTCTGCCTCGTTTCCCAAATGTGTCACAGCCCCACACAGAATCCATGCAGGACATTCTTGGCAGCACTTGGGAGCCCTCTCTGGGACTTTGATTCCCTGGCTTTGAAGTGGGGCTGTTGCTGCTGGGAGGGGGGTGTTCCTGGGAACAGCAGCACTGGATTTCACCGGGAGCATCACCTTCCGCAGCAGATGGAAGTGGTTGTGGATAAACAACCTGCCTCTGGTGGGAAAACAGATAAAGATGCCCAAATTCAGGCAGGAAGAGGAATTCTCTGGGAAAGCCTTGGCTGGAGAAATGTCCTCTTGTCCAAGATGATTTTTGGAGCCTGATCCAGCCCCTCCAAGAGTCCTCCAGGTGCTCTGTGAGATGCTGGGTCCCACAGCTCAGGATATTCAGTGCTGGAAGGAGGAGGAGGTTGGAGAGGATGCGATGGGGTCTCCTTTTCCCTGTCTCCAGCATCCGTCACCTGTTCCCACTCCAGGCTGGACATCGCAGCCAGGAGAGCCAGAAATTATCATTTTTCCAGTCATTTCTTTGACATGCAGCCCTTGGCTTGGGTTTTCCTGTCCAGCCCCTGCGGAGGCTTTTCCTTCCCCTGCTCCCCAGACAAGGCAGGAAGGGGCAGAGTCTCTCCTGCCTGGCACCATTTGGCTTCTCCTGCTGGGAGGGGACAGTCCTGGCCTCGGAGCTGCCCGTGGTCTGTGGGGCAGAGCTTGATCTGCATCAGGGGCTGCTTCGAGGTACAAGTAAGGAATTTAGGGGCTGTTGAGCAGCTCACAAATATTTACTGATCATCTTAAAATCACATTGGCCTGTCTCCTTGCACGGTTGTCTCCAGAAATCCACATTTTTGTTTGCCCTGTCCATGGAGCAGAGGGTGGGACACATCCTCACCTGCTTCCCTGGCACTGGCTGCCCAGAGGAGCCGTGGCTGCCCCATCCCTGAAAATGTCCAAGGCCAGGTTGGAGCAACCTGGGCTAGTGGAAGGACTCTCCCACTCCCACACCCAAACCCGCAGTGTTCACCCCCCACCTCTCCTACCCCCAAAGTTCCCATTTTGCTGCTGAAAACTGAGTTTGCCTGCACCGACCCCACATCTTTCCTCATCGGGAAGCTGAGAAACGATCCCAAATCTGCAGTGTAAAGCTCCTTCCCTCTGGTTCTCAACTCACCATGCTACTTCTCCCATGCTTTTCTCCCACTTTGCTCTGGGGTTTCTTCTTTCCTCCCGTCTCCATCTGCAGGTTCTGGGCCAGTTTTCCCCCCAGTGCCCTGGTTGTGCAGAGACTTTGCTCCTCATCCTGTCTCCAGGGGCAAAGAGCGGCGCAGCACCCTGGATCTTTGGACAACTCTTCAGGTGGTGGTTGGTGCTTCAGGCCAGGATGACCAAAGCACAGAATGCTCTGTTTGAACACATAAAGCCTCTCAAAGCTGCAGCTCTACTGCAAAAACATGGTTTCATTGTTTAGAGCGAAAGCAAAGCAGTTTGGGTCTCTTAAAAATGAAAAAACTATTTTTTTTCTTGACTCTTACAGTCTGTGCCAGGTTGTTTTGTGTCTGCTGAGTGTCAGGTGACACCCGAGTGCCTTGTACTCCAACTTCTGGTCACCTGGGTGCTTGTCCTGACGTGCCTTTGCATGAGGTGATGATCCATAGGGAACCAGCTGCCCCATCCAAGGGGAACTCCGGCGTCTCCTCACTGTCTGTAGCGTAAAGGATAAATTAAAAGGTGCTGCCTGTGAGGTGGAGGCCACTCACTCTTCGTCTGCCCTTTTTTCAGTACCTGGAAGCAGTTCAGAGCCCAGTAAAGTTGTGATCCATGGCTACAGTGCTCATGTGCCGAAGAATTCCAAGGCTGAGCAGGGCGGCAGCGTTTTCGACCACAGCCAAGCGCGAGACCGAGCATGGGAGCAGCAAATGTGAGCAGGAAGAGAAGGATAACCCAGGAACAGCCAACACTGGGAGTGAATCCACAGCTACAATCCAGCTACTGAACCCCCTGGACTACAGAGTGTTGTACAATCCATCTGCCTATGCCAGAGGCAGAGCTGGCTCCCGGCAGCACCTGGATAGGGACAATGGCCAGGCCCTCGGTGACACGTTCACCAGCCCTGGCGCTGCACAGGCTGCACAGGCATTCCCTGCTGCCTCTTCCCGAACTTTGCCACCCATCAGGAGAGCCCCGTCCAAGTCCAGGTCCAACACACTCCTCCAGCAGACCATCCTGGCAGCGCTGTCCAAGGAGGAGGCGGAGAAGGAGAAGTGGGAGGTGCACGACTCCAAGGAGGACCCGCGCATGTTTCAGAAGGGGAGGCCTGAGTACAGATCCCTGAGCTGTGACAGCTCTGAGCCAGCACAGCCCCTCCCTGCAGAGGAAGGTGACTCCATTTTGGACAATGTGGCTGCATGTGAGGGCAGCCCGGGATCCATCACGGATCATTTCCAGAGGCTGAGCCGTTTGCCGGCGGAGCGACGCGCGGGGCTGGCGTCCGAGCCCAGGTTTGATGCCCTGTGTCACTGTGCTGTCCGAGCCATCAGGCTCTTCAGCACCCCAGATCTCATCCACGTTCTAAAGTCCTGTGTCCTCCTGGCCGTCCCACCCGCCCACCCTCTGCTGGACGCGTGCGAGGGCGAGTTCTGCCGGCGGGCGTGGGACATGGAGCTGGAGCAGCTGCTGCTGGTGGCGGATTGCTGGCGCTGCCTGGAGCGCAGCGTGCCCTCCTACCTCAGCATCCTCTTCAGCTTTGCCAACCTGCACTGGAAGGACCTCACCTTGCCCCAGTTTGTGCAGCTCGTTTACATCATCGGGGAGGGCCGGCGGTCGCCCGCAGACTTGGCGCAGAAGGTGGAGAGCGCGATCCTGAAGTACCTGGACTCCTTCACCCTGGAGGAGCTGGGAGCCATCTGCCTGGGGCTCTTCAAGTCCGTCAGTGGCATCTCTGACCACGTCATGAGGAGGATTGCGGACAGGGTCTCCCTGCAGATGGAGGACATGAGCACCTACGCCCTGGTGAACGTGCTCAAGATGCTCCGCTACACCCGCATGGACCACCTGCCCCTCCTGAAGGAGCTCGGGAAGGTGATTCCCGAGCGGATTCCTACAGTGAACATCCAGGGCATCATGCACATCACTCTTACCTATTCATCCCTGCACTACTTTGACGAGGGTGTTTTGGCTGCTGTGGCCACGTCGTTGCCTTCCAAGGTGTCCTACTGCCGGAGCAAAGACGCTGCCAAGTTCCTGTGGTCGTTTGGGTGCCTGGACTATGAACCTCCCAACGAGGAGGAGTTCTACTCCAGCCTGATAAAGCAGATCCATAGAAAACTCCATGAATTTAAGAAGTTTCCAGAGCATCTCCTCACTGCTCTGCTTGGCCTGGCCTTTGTCAAACGCTTCCCAGAGGAGCTGATAGACTATGCCTTGAGGGAGGATTTTGTCCAGAAAACAAGGGGCAGCAAATATGAGCTCAACAAGGACCTGTTCACCCTTGGGAAGAGCGTTGAAATCGAGTGCCCCACCTATGGAGGCAACCGCCTCCCGCCTCAGCTTTGCCAGGAGTTCGCTGAGATGGCTTTGAGCTTTGCAGAGCAGGAGATCTACGTCAGGCCCGAAATCGTGGAGGCCACGTCCCTCCTGGAGAGCATGCTGGGGGGCCCTGAGTACGTGAAGAACCACATGATCCTGCCACACACGAGGTCCAGCGACCTGGAGGTGCGTTTGGCCACGGATGGACATCCCATCCCCTTCAACTTCAAGAGTCCTGTGGCAGCCAGGAAGCTCAAAGACATCGGAGTCAGTCTAACAGATGACTTGATGGCTCAGCTTATCAAGGGGAGAGCTCATGGCCGGTCTCCCGTGGAAGTGGAAAATGAAGGCAGGACTCGCAGGCAGGAGAGAGGGGATGAAGCAGGAATGCTGTGCTCAGATGGAGCTCTTACTGCAGGGGCCAAATCATCAGCTGAGTCTAAACCAGGGCGCTGTCCTGGAGCTCCTCCATCCCTCCCTCAGCCTGGGGAGGTGAGGCTGGCTCTGCAGGTGTCCAACAGGAACCACTACTGCTACAGCTCCAAGCGGCTCCTGGGGCTGCACTGCCTGAAGCGGCGGCAGCTCCGGCACCTGGGATACGTGGTGGTGGAGCTGCCCTTCTGGGAATGGTTCCCTCTGCTCCGGCGCTCACGCTCCGAGAAGCTCAGCTACCTCCACTACAAAGTGTTCGACCCGGCGCTGCTCAGCAGGGCTGGGTAGGGGGGTGTGGGGCTGGCTCAGAGCCTCCCCAGTGCATGCCTGCTGCTGGTTACTGGTTAAACTGGTCTCTGAGTGGTGGGTCAGTCTTTGGCGGGTGCTCTGGGCCTTGCTGCGTGGCCAGTTCTGCTCTGCTCACACCCGTGTGTCCCGCGCTCTCCTTTTGTACCCAGATCCTCAAAGGCTCCCACGACAAATAAAACCTGCTAACAGTTCATTTTTCTCTGTGGTTACTCCTTTCTCTGCCCTGAATCAAAGTGGGTGGATTTGGTGGCTCTGTGAGAGCAGGAACAGTGATATTTGGGAGAGAATATTTAGTGATGAAGCTGAACTGGGTGCCAGGAACACACTCATTTCCTCACTGTTCCCATTGCCATCAAGCTCGGGCTGGAGGGCACAGCCTGGGTTTCTCCTTTAGCAGGACAGAGTGTGGATGCTGAGTGCTCAGAAGATTGCGGTGCTCAGACCCTGAGACATTAATTTCATCCTCCAAGGGCTTTAGTTTGGTGTCCACCACGCACATTCCTTATGGCAGCAGCTCCATAGTCATATGTAGGACACCAGGAAGCACATTGTGATGAGCTCCAGACAGCCTGATTTGAAATTCCTTATCCAAGACCACAGAGGATTTTGCTGGCACGGAGGAGTAGAAATCACAGTCCTTCAGGTCTAGATTTCACTGCTTCAGTGAAGGATCTTTGTTCACCTTAGAGAAGGTTCACACTCAAGAGAGAGGAAAAAAAACACAGCCATGGGTGAAAGCAACTTGGTGACCAATTTTTGCCATGAAGTCTGTAGCATAACTTTTCAGTAGAAGGGAGAGCAGTGACTCAGACATGGAGAATAATCCCTTTCCTTACTGAGGTGTTGAACCTGGGAAAATAACCAGAGTTGTTTAAGTCTGTCAGGGTCACAAACAGGTAGGAAAAAATCCTGTAAAATATACCTGAATTATCCATATGCCACAGGAGAAGTCTTCAGCCCAGGAAAGAGATGTGAGGAGAGAGAGAGAGAACAGAGGGAGAATCTTGAGTTTTCCCAAGGAAGGGAGCAAAGAGAGTTGAGTTGCCATTTTTCACACCACCAGTGCTGAGGGCTGAGTGAATTTACCACTTGGTAAATTCAGTTTGGCTCAAAATGAACCAGAAGGGGCAGTTTTGAGGCAGAACTTGTAGTTAAACCCTCAGATTTCTCCTTTAAGATGTGGATGCCCAAAAGTCAAACCAGTTTAAAAGCCTGTTTGACCAGTTCCCCACTGGCAGCCTCTCAGACTCAGAAAGTAGTACTGGAGGAGAGTTGGTTTATGCTTGTCCTGGTCCTGTGTTCCCTGGTGAGGAGCAGGAATTGCTCCTGATGGTTGCCAGACCAAATATTGGGATGGAAGGGCTGCTCACCTGCCCTGTTACACCTCTTGTTAGGGTCACACTGCTTTGGTCAAGCACTGGCATTGTAACCTGGCTCAGATTCCATATTGTGTTGGGTTTTATATGTGGGATTTGTGCCTGGGATTCCACCTCTCTCCTCTCAGATGCAGCTCATTAACTCTGCCTTTCCCTGGCAGCACCGAGGTGCCCCCAGAAGGCTGATTTCATTTGGGCTGAACTAACAACTTTGGCTGAAAATCATTAAAGAGATGCTTGTTCCTGGAGGAGGCAGCGAGTTCCTGATCTGCAGGGCTGCCCAAGGCAGTGACATGTTAAAATTGGGGTTAATGTGAGGTTAAAGCTCTTACCTCACACATAATTTCATTCTTAAAAGGGATCAGATAGAGCCAATTCCAGCCACATTTTCTTTTCCAATGGAAAACAAGGTGTGTTCGCTTGAGTTTCTTTAATGAACGTTGGCAGAAGAATCAGCTGCTGGTGTTCAGAACCCAGACATCTCCCTCAGAGCTATTCAATGCCCTTCTGCTCTCCTGGAGGTATTTAACACTGGTTATTAATATTTGTGGTTAATCTTGGTTCCCACCAGCTCCTGTGGCAGGCTCTTGTGCTGTGCTGGTGCTTTGTTGCATCTACAAAACCTCCTGCATCTCTGATAAATTTTCACATCCAATTGCTGGTCTGTCCATATTTTTTAGTTAAAATAGCCATTTTTTCTCTGATGTTTCTCCAGGGGTTCACCAATCAATATTAATGTGGTTTTTTTTTTCCAATCCCCTCTCTTCACCACAATCTTTGGGTTTATATTGGCTTAACTTCCTGGAATCAGATCTGAACTGCATTTTAGGAATTCCCAAGCTCATCCAGGCTCCTAAACATGTTTCACTGTTCATGGATATTCACTGCCTTTATTTCTAATTTTTTTTTTTTTTTTACAAGCTGAATCTGATGCTCAGAAAGTGACCCCTCTCCAGCTGCAAAGATGGTCATAAACGTCTGTCTCCCACAGTTCAAGCCAAGAATTCACTGCAACAAGGTAAAATAGTGATGTGGGGGTTTTTAGGGAACCAGAGGGATGGAGGGATTAGATGGAAGTGACTGGTTGGGGCTGGGGAGGGTTCACTGTTCCTCTGGGATAATTAACATCACTGCTCTCATGTGGCACCCACTAATTGTTGGAGGGGAAAGCCCTAATTTTGCAGGATCTCATAACCAGATGGTGTTATGTGCTATCAGGTGTGTGTTCTTTGACCTGAGATCCCTTTTTCCCTGCAGTATTCCAGCTTTCCCTTTGTCCAGTGGAACACACAGCCCTTGACAGCATTTGCTGAAGTTACTTTCCAAGTACTTCTGTTTTCCCTCAGCACGTCAGAATCCCTTAAAAAACCCTCAGTTTTAACTCAGAGCTATTTTTTAACTGTAAGTCTCCACAGCACCTCTCCCCAAAATCCGAGACAGCCTTGGATTTGTAAACACTGTGCTGGTTTTGCAGCAGTAGAGGTGTGACCATCCCTGCAGGTGGTGTGTGGAGAGACCCAGCCAAGCCATGGAGGTTTGGTGTCATTGTCATGATCAAGCCCTTATCAAACAGGTGGAATAAATAGATATCCCTTGCTTTTATTTGTTCATTTAGCAAGTGCTGCAGATTTCTTAGACCCCAGAGCTTCCAGGAAAGGGAATGGGTGGAGCCAGCCTGCCCAGGAGCAAAGCAGAGGGTGGGATTGGATGTTCTGGGAGACTGGAGATCCAGCCTGATTTGGGTTGGTCCCAGAGGCTGGCTGACCTCCAGAGGTTTCTCTGGGATCCTGTGCTGATTCCAAGTGCATTTCCACACAGCAGGAGGAGCTGGCATAAGGAAAAAGAGGAGACTCTCATGTGAAAAGGAGACCGAAAGAGGAGATTCCCATCTCCTCACACACATCTCTGCTCCCAGCCGCCATCTCCCACTTGCTTTATTTCACTGACCCAGCCAAAACCACAAACCATCCCTAATTTTCCACTCTTCCAGCAGTTAAATCAGCTCTGCCCATGGCTGAACAGGTGACAGAGGCTGCAGGAAGCGAGGATGGGATCATGTGGCTGGAGGAGGGTGGGAGTGGGTGGGAGCAGGGATCTGCTGCCTTGTCTCAGCTGCACATAAACCACAGTGTGGTGTTGCCTTTTGTTTGATATCACCTTGAGAATCTACCTAAGTGCTTGTGAATTTAGTTTTCCTTTGATTTTCTTGCTCCAAACTAAACCCAGTTTTCTCCTGGGACACAGATCTCTGCTGATGGCTACGAAGTGGAGAACCTGATCTCCGAGGACCTGGCCAGGAGGAACCGCGGTTTCCGCAGCGAGTACTTCATCAAACCCCCAGTCCACGTCACCATCTCCTTTCCCTTCAACATCGAGATCTGCAGGATCAACATCGACATCTCCTCTGGGGGGTACCAAACCTTCTCTGGGCTCGAAGTTTACACCTCTACCTCAAGCCACAAAACCTCTTGGCAGAGCCCCGAGGGGCCCTTCTCAGGTCTGGCCGGGCAGCCTGTGTCGGACAAAGACACTTTCACACTGGTGGGCAAAGCTGTCCTAAAGAATCAAAGCAAAGTGACTTTCGGCCACAGAGGCTTCAAGCCGAGGCCTCCCTTCCATCAGATGGAAAATGTCTTCTCCTACCCCGGCTCCGTGTCCCAGGACCTCTGGAACAAAGGCCCCGCCTCGCTCAGCAACGTGTCGCACCTGAAAATCTGCATCACGCACGTGGCGGGTGGGGGGTTGCCGAGCATCAAGAGGCTGGAGGTGTGGGCACAGCCTGCCAAGTCCTGCCCACAGGAGGTGATTGAGGGTGTCTTCCAGGTGGCCTCCCAGTTCCTGGCCCAGGACGCCGGCAGCCTCAAGCCGGAGCTGTGGACGCCGATGGAGAGCGACTGCGTCCCCTTCAGCGCCAGCGACAGCGAGCAGCACACCCTCCGCAAGCTGGTGGACGTCGTCCAGGACATCCCCGAGGAATTCCTGGACCCCATCACCCTGGAGATCATGACTTTCCCCATGCTCCTGCCCTCCGGGAAGGTGATCGACCAGACCACCTTGGAAAAGTGCAACCGGAGCGAGGCGTCCTGGGGGAGGGTCCCCAGCGACCCCTTCACCGGGGTGGCCTTCAGCCAGCACTCGCAGCCCCTACCTCACCCCACCCTCAAGGCCAGGATAGACCACTTCCTGCTGCAGCACAGCATCCCTGGCACCAACCTGCTGGGGAGGGCTCATTCCTCGGAGACCCTCGTGCCCTCTTCCATAACCATGTCTTCTCTGAAAAGGAAAATGGACTGCCTGGACCAGGGCTCTCTGCAGCCGCCCTATTTTTCTGCTACAAACTTACTTGTCTCCTCTACCTCAGAGAACAGTGCTAAAAAACTGAGAACTGACAGTGACTCCCACCTGACCCAGATGGACTGTTCCACAGGTATCGTGGCTCCCTCGGTCACCTCTGTTTCTTCAGTGTTGTGACAGCCTGAGGCTGGGTTTTCAAATCAGGAGATTTGCTCCAGCATGGATTCCCATCCCACCTCTAGGAAGCTTCCAGCCTGTTGATGGGTCATTTCATTCACCTCTCATGTTACCTGTCCAGTCTGTTTCACAACCCCCTTTTTTGCTCAGGTCACCACCTTTTCCTTTTAGTTTGGATTTCCTTTCTCCTCCTCCCCGTCCATGTGGAGGCAGCATTTTCCTCACTGTGCTGGTTGGAAGTTTCCTTATCCAGGGTGATTTATTATGTCCTGCAAAAACAGGAAGAGAAGTGTCTGGGGGTGATGGCACAGGGAGTCCTGGCTGTGCTGATCTTATCCTGAGGAGGGAGCTGGGGAGGAAAGCAGGAGTGGGATGCACTTGGAACCAACCACAGCAAGGGAATTGCAGGCAGTGCTGCCTCCAGAGCAGGGAGGAGGGACAGCCCAGGCTGGGAGAGACTTGCACAGGGTTTGCATGTGGTTAAAGCAGAAAAGCAGGTAGGGACTAAATTAGACAAGGGATGTCAGTTGTGGCTGCAGCAGAAGGAAGGGGGGACTGGTTTCCTTTTATCCATGCTTTTCTCAGTGATTTGGTAGCAGCACTGCTGGGAATACAACACATTCTCCAGTCTGGAGAAAAGGAGGCTCGGGGGGGGACCTTGTTGCTCTCAGTAACTCCCTGACAGGAGGGTGGAACCTGGGGAGGGGTTGGTCTCCCAGATAACAACCTCAAGTTGCACCAGGGGGGTTTAGGTTGGATACTGGGGAAAATTTCTTCCTGGAAAGTGTTGTCCAGCCCTGGCACAGCTGCCCAGGGCAGTGGTGGAGTCCTCATCCCTGGAGGGATTCAAAAGCCATGTGGATGTGGCACTTTGGGACATGGATGATCCAGCTCTGGGGGGATGGTTGGACTCAGTGATCTCAGAGGGCTTTTCCAAGCTTAGCAATTCCATGATTCTGTGATCCATTTTGCCTTGTCACAGGAATTCCTGAAATGTGTTGGAGTTGCTGTGCAGCTGTTACATGGCTCTAACTGCTGCACACAGCAAAGCTTAATCTTCTCTGGTGTCATTAAACTGAGTTCCTGCTTGGGGTAATGATCCTGCTGGAGGAGGAAGGGGAACTTAAGCTGGGAAGTGGGAAAAGAGATGGCTTTAGCAGCTCACATTTAGGTGAGGTTGAAGGGAGCAGCTGTTCCTGTGAGGCTCTGGGCTGAGCAGGAGGTGTAAATACAAGTATGTGGGTGTCTTGTGGTCACACATTGTGTGATCTCCAGGCAGGTAAGTCCAGTCCTCTTGGACTTCTAACCCTCCTCTTCTCCTTCTAACCTAGTGGTCTAAAACATCTCAAAAGGTGGCCCAGAGCTTCTGACTGCTGGGACCTGCCACTGCCTTCACCTTTCTCCCAAACTGCCAAAAAAAAAAATGTTTTGAGGGAAAAGCTCAGGCAGTGGTTTGATTTTAAACAAATTCCTTGGTTGAAAATACTTGTTGTTTGGTGGTCCTGGAAAGGGCAGGGAGGAGTCAGACTGCACATTTGTGCTCTGATCCCTCAGTCTGGAGCTGATTCCCTGGTTTAGGAGGAATCATGAGTTATTCTGGTTGCAGGGGTGTGTAACAGCTCCTGTTGGGATGTGCCCAAGCCCCACAGGAGCAGGGCCTGCCCTGGGGGTCCTGGAGCTCCTGGGGGAGCTATGACAGTACATAAATAAAAGTACAGCCCAGGGAGCTGTGCTTCAATGTGTCATCAGCCTTGATTGCTGGGGCAAATGTGCAGCACTAATTCCGAGGTGTTCCTCTGGGAGGTGATGGATTTAACAGAATTAGTGATGCAGGCAACATTCTCCCAATGCTGAGCCTTAATTAACTGTGCTGTCGGAATTGCACAGGACGAGGCGCTGCAGGGAGGGTCCAGCCCTGGGCCTTGGGATCACAGCTGGGACAGAGGGGAAAAAACAAGCCCCACAGATTTTATCAGTGGTCTAAACGTTCTCTGTGAGCTGCACGGAGCAAGGCTGGGAGCGCTGGGCTGGGATCCTCAGGGAGAGGGCTGAGGGAGGGCCTGGGGCTTCAGGGAAAAGCAAGTGTCTGGGTTATTTGGGGTTTTGCCCTTTTTTAGACCTGCAGATGCCCACAACTCCTGACAGGAGGGTGGAGCCAGGTGGGAGTTTGGTTCTTCTCTCAGGTAATAAGTGACAGGACAAGAGGAAACGGCCTCAAGTTTGCCAGGGGAGATTTAGGTTTGATATTGGGGAAAATTTCCTCACTGAAAGGGCTGTCCAGCCCTGGCACAGCTGCCCAGGGCAGTGGTGGAGTCCCCATGCCTGGAGGGATTTAAAAGCCATGTGGATGTGGCACTTGACAATATGATTTAGTGGTGGTCTTGGCAGAGCTGGAGGAACATTTAGACGTGATGGGTTTGGAGGGCTTTTCCAACCCAAAGGATTCTCTGATTCTGCATAAGTTGGCACTGGGACACCACAGGAATGTCTGGTTGTAATCCATAGGGTTTTTCACCTTTAGGACCCAAAGGAGATGAGACAGTCCATCCTTATCCAGGCACCTGGATGGGAAAAAGACACCTCTCAAGAAAACAAGTGGCAGGGCTTCTAAAAACCCGAGTGTTGTCCCAAAGGTTCAGAATCAAAGCAGCATTTCCATGGCACATTTTTTTTTCCCAACTCCCACTACTTGATCTCTTTGCAGAGCACGTCTTTGGTCTTTGTGCTGCTCTTTGCAGAGCTGGTCTTTGTGCTCCTCTTTGCAGATCTGGTGTCCCACGAGCAGAAGCTGTCGGAGAGCTTGGACACTGCCCTGACCTCGGCCCTCAGCTCCATGCCCTCTTTCACGGCCAAGCTGATGAAGAGCCAGCAGCAGCCAAGTGAGGGAGGCTGCAGCAGCTCCTGGAGCGTGGGCACAGTCCTTGGTAAGCAGCAAGTGCCTCTGGATCACCTCTGGGAGGTGTGCTTCTTCAGACCCCAAAATATTACCTATTCAGTACAGAAATATTACATTGTCTCCCAGCAGGCTTTACTTCACAATCCTTAACTATATCTCAGCAGTGCAATGGTTTATTCTCCCACCTTGCTGACCCCTAGAAAGTGTATGTTGTTGTCCATGCCCAGAGTCAGAGCAGGCTGGGACATGACTCCTATGATTTTCCCATATTCTTGGCTGTCCTGTGTCTGTGCTGCCCAGAGGTGATCCAGGATGTGTTGTGCTGGGACAGTGCTCAGCCCAGCCTGCTCCAGGTTAGTACAGGCTGTTCCCAGAGCTCTGCAGTTTGGGCTGAGTGGTTTAAATGTTGCCTGAGGGCTGCATGGAGCAAGCTGGGAGCTGTCACGTGGATGGGGAATGAGTCTGGTTGGAGATGCCACTGGAGAGGTGTAAATCCAGCAAACAGTGTGGCCTTTCACTGCTTAAAGAGGGCTTGTAAAAAAGGGGAACAGCAGCTTTTTACACAGGCAGATAGTGATAGGATGAAAGAGGAATGTTTTTAAACTAAAAGGGTAGGTTTAGATTGGATATAAGGAAGGAATTCTTGGTTGTGAGGGTGGTGAGGTTGCCCAGAGAAGCTGTGGCTGCCCCTTTATCCCTGGAACTGTCCAAGACCAGGTTGGACGGGGCTTGGAACAACCTGAGCTAGTGGAAGGTGTCCCTGCCCAGGGCAGGGGGTGGAACTGGATGATCTTTGAGGTCCCTTCCAACCCAAACCATTCCATGATTCTTCGAAATCCTTGACCCTTAATAGGACCAGGCTTCCAGACCCTTAACAGGACCAGGTCCCAGCAGCAACATCACAGGCCAACCAGCCACGTGTGTGCCCAGAATCCCATCAGGATTGAGTATATGAAAGCCAGGCTGCCCAGTCTTCGCTGTCTTCTTCCCACTTGCTGCCTGGACATGCTCATCCAGCTGTGTGTGCATTCCCCAAATTACCTCTTTGGGACTCAGGGAAACACCGAACTTTCAGATGTCCCTCCCCAGTCCAGTGCTGGCTTCCCTTCCCCTGTGTGAGGCTCTGCCAAGAAGGAGGTTCAGAAGGACCAGCTGACCCCATGGAAGGACCAGGGCTGTCTGTCTGTCTGTCTCTCTCCCTCTCCCCCTCCCTCCCCCAACAGGTTTTGCTGTTCCACAGTGACATTCAGTCATTAAGCATTTTCGTGTCCCCTCTAAGATCGCTGCTGTTTAAGAGCTGACTGAGTAGACCTCGATGGGTCGTGTGTGACAGGAATGCAAAGTGATGCCTAAAGCATTCCAACTGGGAATCGCTGCTTTTAATCCATGTCAGAAAAGCAGGAGGGAGGATGAGTTAAGTCTCAGTAAAAGTGAAAAGCCCTTTCTTACAGTCATCTGTCCTCAATTAAAAGCTTGACGGTGCAAGTGCTGACGTGATCCAGCCTTCCCTGAGCACAGCCTGCCCTGGAAGCTGGACCATTCCCTTTCCTTAGGGCAGTGACAGAGGAAAGAGGCACAGTCCTGAGCCATGAGTGCCCCGTGTCTGCAGGAATTGGAGCCCTTGGCTCTTGGGCAGGATTGGGTACAGAGGAGTGGCCCAGCCTGAACTTATCACCCCCCAACAGATCCACTGCTCCTGCCCCCTTTTCTTTATAGACTTCAGCTGCACCAGGGGAGGTTTAAGTTGGACATTAGGAAGGGTGATTAGATGTTGGAACCGGCTGCCTGGAGAGGTAGTGGAGTCCCCATCCCTGGAGGTGTTTCAGGGAAGCCTGGAGGTGGCACTCAGTGCTCTGGGCTGGGTGACGAGGTGGGGATCGGTCACAGGCTGGACTCGATGATCCCAGAGGTCTCTTGCAACCCGAATCACAATCCTGTGATCCTGTGATTTGCAGAGCACGGCAGGAGCAGCCAGACCCAGGGATGCTCTTCCTGCGGCAAAACCTTCTCCTCCTACTTCAAACCGGAGCCCATTTACCAGCTGCCCTGCGGGCACCTCGTGTGCCGGCCCTGCCTGGCCGAGCGGCAGAAGGCGCCGTCCCCCATCCAGTGCGGGAGCTGCAAGAGGTCGGCAGCCACCCAGGACGTCAGGAGGGTTCACTTCTGACCCCCGGGCTGCCGGGAGGACGAGGACGAGAAGCTGGTGCCGTTCCCCGTGGATCCGCCGGAGCATCAGCGGCCCGCAGGAGGAGCCGGAGAGGACTCGGCGTTGTGCTTGCGGAGTAGCGGGGTGGGGGGGTGGGGGGTTAGAGCACCGCGCCGGAGGATAACAAAAGCCATAGCTTCTTTATCGAGGAACGTGTATTTATACAGGACTGATCTCCACCCGCCCTCCCACCACCTCCCCGTGGCTCAGTGGTTTAGCTTTAGGTGCCTTTCGGACCGCGAGTGCAGCTTCCCTGGGAGCTCAGACCACACCTCTGACGAGCAGCCCCCTTCGGTTGTGGAGCAGGAAAAGTCCTTGTGAGTGACAACACACAGAAGCTCCTTGACTTCCCCCCCTCCTCCCCACCTCACCTTCTCCTCCCAGAGCACATCCCTCATCCTGGAATCCTCCTCCCTCCCGGAATCCAGCGGTAAGAGGCCGTGGTTAAGGTATGAGGAGCTGGCAGTGATCTCACCCCTGCTCACACCAACTCTTGTAGAAAAGCCATCCCATCCCACCCGACGTCCCTCTCGGTTTATGTCGTGTGACCAGACCAGCTCCAGGCTGGCTGATAGACATTTAAGCCTTAATAAAATGTTTAAAGTCAGGTTTCTCTTTCTGGCTCCTAATTGGTCTCATTGTGAGGCTTAATGATGTCGTGGAGTGAATCTCTGTGCAGTGAAATCTCTGTGCGGAGCAGGAACAAATGGGCTGGAAAAAGCTCAATCAACACACAGACCTAGGGGGTTGAGAGAGGTTGTGGCAGCAGCCTCATGGATCACAGGGTTGAGACTCAGACACCTGCACCCCTGGGGGTCTGGGCTTCAAAGAGCTGCTCAGAGAAAAGGCAGAAGGAAAATGGCTGGGATATGTTCCATCCTGGATGTGCTGGGGGGCTGGGGGGGGGGGGGTCTGGTGACAGCAGGGGGTTTGTCACCTTCATAACCCTCTGCTTTTGGCACTTAATTGGTAATTCCTATATCCTGGCTGATGTTCTGGGCCATAAAGAGCCTCCAGCTGACTCAACTCACCTTTGTCACACCTTTAGTTGCTCTCAAAAAGCACCTCAGCAACTTGTGGTGTTCCTGGCACAGGAAGGAGCTGCTCTTCCACTGGAACACGGCGTTGTCCTGGCACCACACGGATCCTGCTCCCTGTCTGCGTCAGCAGGAGTTTATGGCCTGTCTCCACTAGGAGCAAAAATAGAAAATCCCACATCTTTAAATAAGAAACTCTTAGAGAACAGGCAAAAACTTCCAAAAAATCCCACAATTCAGAGGCAACAAAATCGACTTGATGCAGTGGTGTTGTCGTGTTTGCAGTGAGCCATTCAGGGGTGATTCAGCTCTCACACCTCCCCCTCCACATGGATCTCCAGGGAAGGGAGGAGGGTGGCTGCTGCAGGAGCTCACAGTCCACACAGCTGTCACCGTCTCCAGCACTAACAAAGCCTCTGGATGATTCCAACAAAACCCAAAGCCACTGGCTCAGACAAGTATCTCCACTCCACTCCTTGTGATATCCTGCTGGGCAGTGATCCAGGCAGGAGCCATCTCCTGAGTTACCTCCAGGTTCCCTTAGTTCTGGAGGAGAGGGAGGGAGGGACAGGGAGCGAGCAAGGAGCAGAGGTTGGAAGGGACAGTGGTGTTGGGACATCAGGTCCCTCCTCTGCTCAGAGAAGGGCTCATTTCCACCTCATATCAGGTTTCTCAGAGCCTTCATCCCCCAATTTCTCCTCCTCTTAACCCTATAGGACCCTTTGCAGCACGTTTAACCTGCTGTGTCCCTTCTTGCTGAGGATTCAGGGGTGAGTTTCCCTCTGTGCCCACATCTTGGAGCTCGCTGAAGGACCTGGTGTCCCAGCTGGGTGTGAGGCCCCCTGACCTGGGGCACTGAAACCCCTGTGGGCAGCAGGGACCTTCTGCACCCCGAGGCGATGGGCTGGGTGGTGGGTGACACAGAGCCAGGAATTCCCATGGGTTCCTCTTCCAGGACCCACAGCAATCCCTCTTCAGCTCCCACACAGACACCACCAGCAAATTTATTCCCAGCACCAAGTCTGTCTTCTCCCCAGGAGGAGGGGAATGGCCTTGGATTGAGGCTTGAGCCATTTCCTCTAATGCTCTCTGAGCATTTTTCAGATAAATCCATCCCTTGTTGGTCTCATGTGACCTTCTCATGTGACATCCATATCCCGGTGGGATGGACTTGGAGGGAAAGGGCAGCAAGGCAGCACCCCAACCAAGCTTGACTTCCTTTAAAGGAGCATCAAAGCTGTTTTCCTGCTGTCCTGGGAGCAAAAGAGGCATCTTTATCCTTGAACATGAAAAAGGCAGGAGGTGCAGGACCCCCCTCTCCACCAGTCCCCAGCCAAACCCCCCTGAGCCATGGGGTGACAGTGACACGTTCGTGACAGATCCATTTGAGGATCATTAGTCCTCCCAGGCAGGAGAAGGGAGCTCTCCCTTGCCAGCCTCACCTGCTCCATATTCCCAGTGCATCAGTGATGTGTTCAGGAAGTTTCTCCTTCCCTGCTGCATCCATGGCAAAGGCAGGAAAATGCACAAACCGGCGAAATTCATCCCTTTTCCCAACACTCCCTAATTTATCCTGATTAAATGTTGCCACTCTAATTTATCCTGGTTAAACTTTGGCACTTGGAGCTCTGTGTGCTGCAGCCAAGCACTGTGACCTCCATCCCTTCTCCAGCCTCTGGAGGGGCTCACACAAACTTTGTTGGAGTCATCAGAGCTAACGAACCTCTCACTGTTAATGGTAGATGGGGGAGATTTAGACTGGATATTCAGGAAAATTTCTTCATGGAAAGGGTGGTCAGGTATTAGAACAGGATGCCCAGTGTTGTTGCTATTTTTTTTATATTTTGAGGAAAAGAGGAAATTGCCTCAAGTTGCGCCAGGGGAGGTTTAGGTTGGATATGAGGGAAAATTTCTTCATGGAAAGGGTTGTCCAGCCCTGGCACAGCTGCCCAGGGCAGTGTTGGAGTCCCCATCCCTGGAGGGATTTAAAAGCTGTGTGGATGTGGCACTTGGGGGGCAGGGGTTAGTGGTGGCCTTGGCAGTGCTGGGGGAACAGTTGGACTCTATGATCTTAGTGAGCTTTTCCAACCTTACCGATTCCATAAGCTCCGTGGCTGAGCCCCTCCGGCAACCCCAGCCCCTCTGCTGGTCTCTACAAGAGCTGGGGCTGTGTTTTGGCTGAGCAGGGGAGTGGATTTGAGGGTGCTGCTCCCTCTCCATCCTGTGTCAGGCCTTTGGGGCTTCCCTTACTCCCAAGGGGATCTGGGAAAAGGATGGCAGCCACTAACTGTGCCAACGAATGCCACGGCACACATCGTTAGGAAATCGGCGCTAACGAAGGGAGATCCTCTGGGGCCCTGGGAAGAGCCTGGGGAAGAGCAGGGATGTGGCAGAGCAAATCCAGTGCTGGAGACACAGAGAAGGGACCCTGGGGCTGCTTTGGGGCCTGGGGGATTTGGGGCACGACTTTGAGTAGCCCCAAAGTGTTGACTGGGAGCAGGATGTGGGATGGGGGTCCAGCATCATCCCAGGTACCAGGGAACATCAGAGCCCAGCAAGGATATTCCCAGCTGGCTCTGCCCAGCCCTGTGAAACCCATGACCCTGAGATCACTTGTCCCATGACTCACCTCATGTGACCCCAATATTTCCTCCCCCAAACCTCCATTTTCATGTTTTCCACCCATTTTTTCCTCCCCGTTCCCCCCTCGCCCTCCCCTTGATTCCTGTAAGTGATTCCGTGTGGCGGCTGCGGAGCCTCTGCAACTTGGAAAAACATTTTATTAACCTTCCTTGACTTTAAAGAGCATAATTACATTTTAATCTCATATTCCTGCGTTATCATTCCAGACACAGAGTCATTTGGATGCAGATCATTCCCGGCTTAATGTAATTTTACGATACAGTAATGAAGAGACGGAGCAGGAGCGCGGAACACCCAATTTAGAGCTGACATTTGGGGTTCTTTTAAAGAAAAGTTTTCCCAGCCGAGGGCTTTTGCGTCCTCCTTGGCCCTGCAACGTAAGTGGGTTTGGGCTCCCGCTGTGAAGGGATGGATTTGGATGGGGAAGCATGGCTGGTGTTATAATAACACGGGTCATTAAATCCCCCACGGCCGCGCCACGTGGGTGGTTCGGCGTCACGGGGCAAATTTGGGAACTCGCCGCTCCCTTGGTCCCGGGGAGAACTGAGTCAGGGGCTGCATTGCCTTCATGCACCTGGAGGAGGGGAGATCACCCTCATGTTACCCAGCAAAAAGCCCCAAAAACCAGGACTGCCAGCGCCCGGGGTTGATCCATGCTCCAAAATCACAGGAGCTGGGAGCAGGCTGGGCCCCCCAGAACTGCCAAATAAAAGGCTTCCCCCTGTGTGCCTCAGTTTCCCCTGGGTGGCAAAGCGATGCTCTGGGCTCCAGTCCCCTCCAGGACCCCTCCCTGGTTCCTATGGAGCTTTTTAAAGTGTTCTGGTTTTCCAGGTGACAGCAGGGTCACAGTTTCCTTTGGGATGCTGGAGCAGAGCAGCCCCCTCCCCACCCAGAGTACACCGGTCCTCCTTGCTCCAATCAGGGCTGAGCTGCTCCAGGGTGTTGATCCAGCAGAAAAGGAATGTTAACGAGGGGAAGAAAATGAGGGACACTAATGAGAGGGGGGGTGAAAACCCACATTCAGCCACCCCAAGTGACATCCAGGCTGATTTCGATGGTTCTCTGCCTCAGTTCCCCACCTTTGAGCTCAGGGTACAAAACCACCCCAGAGGCTGGGCCACAGCTGGCAGCACCCCCACATTGCCCACCCTCCCTCCCTGCACCCCCAAACAAGCCCCTCCTGATCATCATGAGCCAGCATTTTTGGGGGGAAGGAGGAGGTGGGTGCTCATAGGGCTCAATTCCCCTCTGCGTATTAATTCATGTTGCTGGGAAAGGGATCTGGGACCAGCAGGAATATTCATGGCTGGATGGTGAGGGGAAGGGGGGTTGTTGCTGCTGTTTTCCCTGTACAGATGTTTCCCACAG